TAAGATATGTCAATAAAATCCAATATGGCGGCATATCCATGGAAACAAAACTTTTTTCTCAAATTTGATTGCAGATTTTAAGACTCCTTACTATGCTTGTTATATGTGTGAAATTTGGTAAAATTCGGTCCTGTAATAAGCGAGATAGCCTTCAGGTGTACACCCCCCCCCCTTAAGGGATTAGAATCAGTTCAACCTGTTTTAAGTTCTAGGAACTTGACTTTGAGCAATAGTTTGCTTTGTCTTTTTTCTTATTTATTTTTTAAAAATTGGTTTTGGTCACTAGTTTTGTTTGCGAAAAGAGCTGGTTTGTGTCTTCAACGTCTTTTGGAGTCAACGTATTTATTCTGCTGTGACGTGACGTTAGAGAAGCTTGTTTCGCTAGTCTGAAGATAATTTTCTGTGTGCGCAATGTTTCCTTTGTGAAGTCTATTTATTAGCCTGCTATGGTGGGAATTCAGATTCTGATAAAGCACGTGCAGCCCTAAGATCAAGTGGTGTGATTTTAATAAACTTGACAGCAGTTGTCAGAAAGGGTCATAAATATATGAACATAAGATATTATTTAAATGGATACATACGTACTGTCGTTGATTTCATGTTAGAAATCAGCATGGTAATATCCAGAAAATAAGAAATACGCCACGTATATCGAGTGCACTCAATATATTGGCTTCCAAACATAACAGGGACCAGAATCATGCATAGAAACCATTGCTACTAGCAGTAACAGAATTGTTCATGCATATTTTATCTCTTTACTCTGTCTGTTAGTTGTACGTCATTGTTTGGCTCTATATCAATTTTGGGTGAAATCCCAGTATTAGTCATAGCGTATGTCTGGTATACCCAATACAAATGAAATCAGAAACACAGGAGACACAGAAGCGCTTATGAAAATCCTTTTTCCGAAAGAACATCGAAAGACATAGATAATTATGTTCTCCCCTCGAAGACCACCATCGCTATTTTTCTTTCCTCCCACCCCCTTCTTCCTTCCCTCTCCCATTCTCTCCCCTTTTCCTGCCTCCTTATATTTCTTTCTAACACCCTTCTCTCTCATTCCCCCTACCCTTTCTATCTACCTGTATCATCTCTTCTCTGTCTCTCTCTTTCTCTTCTACCTTTCGCTCTCTCTCTCTCTCTCTCTCTCTCTCTCTCTCTCTCTCTCTCTCTCTCTCTCTCTCTCTCTCTCTAGCTCGCTCGCTGGCTCTCTTAAAAGATGTTGCTTTTTTGGTTATGGAACAGTTGAACGATTCGCCAAAGAATTCTTGATTTGGCTCACGTTAACGGCAGCGATGTGTCTAGTTGCATGTCCCTTCTGTCCTGGGGTGCAGAGGGGAGACAATTTGATATGTATCTAAGGCACTACATAAAAGGTCAGCGATGTCATGGGGTGCCAAATTAAATGTAATTGTTCTTCAGGATCCCAAAAAAGATCCAAATTGTGACTGGTATTTGTGGTAAGATAGCTAGTCTCATCTGCGCTGCACGCAAAAACGCGAGTTCGATCCTCAACTAAGAGGAAGTCTATTATTTTTCGAGTACCTCTGTCTGTGTACAGGGGTGTGGCATCTCTGTCCTAATAGGCCAGGGTCGAAGCAGCCCACGTAATAAATTACATAGAAAGTGCTCTCTAGATTATTCGTGGGGGGGGGGCGAGGTTCTT